ACTTTTCGAAAAAAAAACTTTTTTCTCCAACTTTTCAAAAAAATCCCAAAAAATAAAATTTTCCACAATTTTTTCGAAAAGATCTTCAAAAAAGGTTGGATCATCTTCAAGGAGCGAAATATTAAACAAAAAGAAAACTTTTCAAGTGCAGGATCAAATTTTTAAAATTCTCCCGAAATATTTCCCAAAAAATTAAATTTTGCAAAATTTTCTAGAAAGATTTTCAAAAAAAAGTTAGCCTACCTTTCAAGGTACGAAGTACTAAGCAAAGACAGAATTTCACGTTGTACTATTAGCAATAAAACAAATCAGTGGAGAGTTAAAATCACCGTACTTTTGTGATAGTAAGAAAAAAATACATGTCAAAATTTTGCTTATGTACAAATCAGTAATCGAAAGAACGTTCGGAACTGAAAGTTGGATAATACTGCACTTGTGATCGGTTCATTTTTGTGAATGTTGTTTCCATGACGTTACGGCGTCGATATAAGCAAATCAACAGGACCATTATGACCTAAAAAACCAGCATATTGCCACTATGGCCTCTAAAACAAAAGCGCCAACATGACCTAAAAATTTTGTAAGCTCCCTCTAAGTCCTCAAAATTTAGTTTCAATGAAATAGAGAGGAAGGGAACATGGAGGCCCAACCAAAAAGTAGTCATTCCAAATAGGAATTTCCCGGTTTTGATAGATGAGGGGTGGTAATTTGCGGTGTAGATATGCCGAGGAATAACAAAAAAGGTAGAGGAAAGTTTTTTCAGTCCTTTTTTATTTTTTTTTTTTAAAAAGTCTTTAAAAAATTGAATAAATTTCTCAAAATCGTCCAGACTGTCGTAATACAGCGTTTGGAAGCATCCCAGTAACATCATTAAAAATGGACTCAAAATTGGCTGTCTACGGAAAAAGATATTTTTGGTACAAGAAAAGGCGAATTACGGAATACCCGCACAATTCGACCGTAGAAGAAATGCTGGTAGTCCTGATAATAAGTGGCTACGAAGCAGTGCTTGGTACCACGAACAAAGTAAATGGCCAGCTGAGAAATTTTCGAAGTAGCGAGCAGGAAGCTAGGTATGTAAAGCGAGCAAAAGATGGTGCACAGGAGAAGCAAAGAGCAATCCAGAATCGCGCAGCAGACTGACCACTCGATCCCTGTGATCTGTCCCGCCCTTTGTGATAAGTATAGAAGTCTGCAATTTTGTTGTAAAATGCGGTGTTCAGTGTGCAGTTTTAGCAGTGTGTTGCTGCGCTCCAGTGTTCAGCATTCTCCGTCGGCAGCGGTTTCGTTGCAATCGTTCGACTTAGCCCCACCGGCCCAAGTATTCAACTGTGAACTATTATTTGTGTTGATAAAGTTCGTTTTGGCTACTCCAGTCTCGCCACCAAGCACATATAGCACACTGTCATTCGTCCAAGTCTCATTCGAAGATCGTCGTACCATCGTCCGAACAATCGTCGTAACATTCGTCGTAAAGTCTTCGTCGTCGTAACAGTTATTATAACTGGTGACGTGCGACTCATGACTAGTTAAGTCTGAGAAAACTGTGTAGATTTTTATTGAGCCGCTGGCCAGTTTTAATAGAAAAAAAGGAAAATTACCAAAATAAGAGCAATAATCAATGCAATAAGCCAGAAATATGAAGAGAGCGCCTGATCCTCCTGAAAATAACACTTATACATTACCAAAAATGACCAAAGCATAAGAAAAATGGCCAAATTATACAGCTGATAAGAAGCACAAATAAAAAAGTCCCGGAAAAAATAAAAATAAAAAAACACAAAATTCTGAAGCTATTTCTAAGAGGAAGTCAAATGTGTCTGCAGAAAATTAGCTCATACTCATTTTGGAATATTTAAATCAACTGTAATTCACAGTCTAATCCACCAACTATTCAGCTTTCGACTTGCTTTCTGTTGGACGGGTTCGTAAAATCCTCCGTCACCGGCTCCCGCTTTGTCCCCCTGTGAAGATTGGAATTAGGTGTCATGTATAAGAAGACATTTCACGATGCAGTCTGTGCTTCGACTTGCTTTGACTCGAAGTGGAGAATTTCATCAAGATGTTTTCTTGAGGCCTTGCTATTTCGCGCTTCTCCTTTGTATCTCTGTCTCTTCCCTTCACTGTGCTATTTTCGACGGAAACTTGACAACGATCAATGACAAAAGAACGATAAATGATGAAATACTGCATCATTCTTGTGATCGACGATGGCGAACGGTGCGGCTAAGTCGTGCCAGACGCGTAATTGCTCAACTTTGGCGAAGATCCCGAGCGGGTAGTGTCACAGGAAGCCCTTTGGGACGATGATCGAGGCATAATTGATCACTAACAAAATAAACAACGACTGATAAGCTGTAAATGACTGAAATAACCTTAATCACTTCTTCAACAATTCGCATCCCCCGCACTGTACATTTGCCACCGTTGGCGTTCTGCAGAGCGCAAAAATCATCGTCGAACAACAGACGCAACGAATTGGATTGATCAAATTGCTGGATATCCGGATTTGTACCATTGCACACAACGGTCATCAATGATCCATAGAGGTTGCTGAAAAAAAAGCTTGAAAACTTCGAAACTTCAAGATGATATTTTCTATGGAATTTTCGAAATTCAACAAAATTTTTGCTTACAAATTTGAAAATCGATAAATTTACCCCCACGCAAGACCCTTTTCTAAGTCATCTTCCTGTAGTTCTACATCTTAAAGCATTCCCCAATAAATTCCTCAGTTGGCTTACAAAAGGTCATCCCAATCCAATAAATTACATTTTCGTGAAAGAAATTTTTTTTCATAATAAAAATATGCAAAAAACAAAAAAAAATATTGAAGATAGGGTCCCCTTTTGCAAATAAGTATGGACCAGGAAGAAAATCAAATT